GTTAATTCTTTTAGTATCACGGTCAATCATATTGGTTGATTGAATTTTAAACTTTTGATAAAGGTGGATGAGTCTTACAGAAAGTATTGCTTGTTTATTCCTCCTACTTTCCGCGACGCTTTTCAGCAATTGGAGCGATTCATCCAACTCTATCTTTCACAGCACGTGTTTGGGACTGGCTAATTGGCGRAATTCTTTATATTCTGAGAATAACAGTATTAGTTCTAATCTCTTGTAGTCAGAGTACATCCGTTTATTTATGTTAAATTCTCAAGAACATATAGTATACCCTTCTATATATTATATTACATTTTCATATTCGWTTTACATTGGTCTGTCGGATTGGGGAACAAATTTTATTGCATAACTTAAAATTAACCCAAAAGTCGGTGGAATATACTCCAAGGTCGAAGCCGCTTATTATTTTCTTTAATTAAATACCTTTGTTCTTTAAAAGAAGTCTGATTCTCTCCTTCACTATATCCTATGGTGAAGATACACAGTGCCATATCCTTATGAAAGTTTTTATGAAAAATATTATTTCTATTTGGAATTTGCTATTTCACTTCCTCATTCAACCCTTTTGTTCCTCTATTTGTTTCAAATTACGGAAAGACTAACGCTCTGATTTCTCACTGTGGCGAAATTCTATCACAGTTGCTTACCATGCAAATACTAACATGTAGAGGATATGAACAACATTGTGGATATTTTTTACTGCAAATCACGTGTACCTATTTATAAACACATTCCATCGCCTGTATATATACAGATATGTACAAAGTATATCCATTACAATTACAAGCATATCTGTATGCACACCTCGTCCTTCCGGCTACAAACGGGAAATCCCTTTGAGTGAAAAAGGACACGCGTGAATATCAGTTGACATTATTGCATTTTTGAATTGGGGCAGACAAGCATTCCAAGGCACGCCCACGCTAAAGCTAAAGCMTTGAATATTTCAATACCGCCGGCCGACCATGCGACCAAACAGCCAAMCCGCCAACAGCTGTCAAGCCTTCACAGACAACGCCGTGGCATTGCAGTAAAGTGTCCTATCTCTGAGCCGGTCGAAAACAGTTGCGAGCACAGGACATAGCTAAGCCATGCACCATGTACATATATTCATTAAAATGTCTAAGTGTGTATGAGTGTGTGTGCATGTGGATTATATTTGAAAAACATTTTTGTAACATTTTTGTAAATGTAAATTTCTGCGAAGGATGGGTGGGTGTGTRTATGTTTATTGCGAAATGTTCATTATAGTGGCATACGCGCCGTTGAAACTGAGAACAAGCGGTAAAGAGTGGGCATAATGTTGCAAAATTTAATGGCTTACAATAAAATACAAGAAGTTTGTAATGTTAGAAAGCACATAAAGGCAATAAAATGCTGAAAATTGGTTTTCTTGTAGTAAATATTATATTATTGCTTGTATAAGCTTTCACATGCATATATGGAATTATGGCGCTACTGGAGCCTCTTAAGTATTGCTTAAAGTTTCCTTACGTCGAAAAAAATACAAAACCCAAAAGCTGTATACAAAGATTCACATTTTATGGTATTTTCTTATCAGAAAATTACGATAAAAGACCATATTAAAAGAAGCTGTCTCGAAGAAGACTTCAGGGAAGACAAAGCTTTTATATGGAGAGACTTACGACTTTAAATGGCTTTGTGTAGTCTTAAATATTTGTCAAGGATGCATATTTTTCTGTCTTTGATTAGTTTAGTACAAGTCTTCTTCTTAAAAGATTAAGCCTAACATTCAGAAGCATTGGGAAATTTTTATTATCACTCGAAAGAACTTTCTTTGGCATTCGTCGGATATTTTTGAAAATTTTCAAGTGCTCATAGACTGAAGCAATATCGCTGGGGGAGGTCGAGCGACTTCAGTTCTTACACAAGCTGTATTTTTCAATTTCAATTTAAGATCTCGACGCAAAAAGCACCAAGTCGTTCTAAAAGTCAGTCCGAGTTTCTGCGAATCGGAGCTGAATGGGCTCTCCATTGTCTTCGTGTATACTCTCAGATACAGCTGCTATATTTTCTTCACTACATGCTGAACGTGGTCTGTTTGTCGAATATTAGAAAGTGATGAATACTGGATCTCAAAATTGATGACGGTGTTGCGAATAGTACGCTCAGTAGGGCGATTATGTTGACCATAAGTTTAGCGAAGCGCGCGAAAGATATTATTTACAGAACGTGAATTTTTGTAATAAAATTGAACGATTTKTAAAAGTTGTCAGCTTGACCCGACTCACRCGTGACCTGTCAAAAAAAGGCTATTGAAAAAATATATACTTTAACCACCCGTTATAATTGCTGGAACATSTCAACGACAAAATTGTAATACAATAGGCTCTTTTATAGAGGAATATAGTGCTGTTTCGTCAATACTATGAACTGTGTCACAAATCAATAAAAACCTTGACAAAACTGTACGAGCTTGACTTCAATAAAAAAATACATTTTTAAAATTTTAATCTCAACCAAAATAAAATTTTTAATCCCAAATAAATAAAATTTACTTTATCATTCAAAACTTCGTAACTATATACATATTTAAGTACAAAGGTTCTAATATCGAGCTGCGCGGATGAAAAAACTTAAGTATGTGAGTTTAGCTATGCAATATTGGTAAACATCTGTGCCTCATCATTGTACATACATAYRTRYRTRYRTATATGTATATCCATAAAAAGTATATAATATTTTCTACGAATACTTACATTGATTCTACCCAGTATTAATGCCATATTTACTTATTTGAGCCCCTTYTTATCTAGATAGTTCGAAGAAATCTTACACAGCCTTTGCTTCATCTATCATTAATATTAGACATACTTGAGCATATGTATGTTCATTCCTTACATACATACGTAGCCTTTAGCAGCGTAATTTATTAAATATTCAAATGTGACTTTTTATGCCATATTCCCAAAGCAACACTTTAGCCACAATTCAATAATCGTTTATATTCAGTAGTCTCGGAGTTCATAAGTATGAGAGCACATATGTATGTATGTAGATAGATATTTATATTGGTATATTTTAACTCATGTACGCTGAAATGTACTGTTATATGCATACATACTATACATCTAGTCTAATATTAATCAAGTGTCACATTTGCAGACAGCTGTTCACACATTGATACCTACTACTCACATATGTTTGTAAATAAGTGCTCATGGCTTCTGTTCTCGGAATGATAAGCCCGTTATATTGTAATCAATGAAAAACGCATCTGATATTTTCTATACGAGTATTATCCACTTGTAAATGCAAATGCAAAAAATATATGTATATACTCATATTCACAAACAATTGTTTTTATGTATTTATAGAGTATGTGAAAATCTAACCTAAAAACAGCAGGAATACTCATGTACTGCGTTGTAATCAACACTAATGGCCGAAGTGGTCTCAGCCAATATAAAAATAGATATGGTTACATGAAAATTGCGATGTCATAGGACATGACCACCTTTGGTCCAATGCTAGAACCAACTATCAGACTACTTCGTTTAGTCCAACATATACTCTACTTACACTAGACCATCAGTTATTATAAATTATTATACCATGTTTTTCACTTTGTATTGCTATATTCAGAGTTTGTACCTTTGTTTTGGCAATAATTAAAGTTTCCCCTATACGAAAATTATTTGGAGGGGTCAATTTGTATGGCAGCTATTACTACAGTGGTCCTAACAGAACAATATATGTAGCTGGATGTCAGCTGAGCTATAACTATAACAAAAGCAATCAATGGACCTACCCATTGTTCTACTGACTCTCGAGCCGCGACGTAATATCATTTAAATATGGTGATCTCATGCGAAACTATCCGTCAGCTGGCTCTATAGAAGAAAGCAGGCACCAGAYCTAGCGAGTGCTTWGGTGACTCTCGCGCATCAAAGGCATCGTGCCAAGCCACTGCTTAGCGGCACTCGAGCATGGATGTGATGTGACCTAAAAGCCATAACSTGACCTGATGGGCTGTCTAGCTCTATGTAAGTAAAGTAGGCATCGCGCCTGGTCAGTGCTTTGGTGRCTCTCGCGACTCGATGTRATTTGATTTAAAAGTCTTTAGGTGACTTCACGGGAAACTGACTGCCCGCTGRCTCTATAAAAGAAAAGSAGGCATGGTGCCTTAGTGTTTATGTGACTCTTCCGCCGCGATGTGATGTGATTGTAAAGTCAGTAACGGACTTCAGGMGAGCTGGCTGACATGATTAAAATCTAAACAGTTTCGTCAAAGGTTGCATTATTTYCTTATATAATAACCCTTGCCGATTTTCGAGAGATGTGTAACCAGATCTGGTTGCAAGAAGAGTCCATTTGGACCACCTAGTCCTTACATTTTTGCAGGGTATTTAATATACATGTATGTAGATACATATGTATTTAAAACAATATAGTCGACGCTATACTGAAAAGGGGTAAATATTAGAAGATGTTATAGTAAACATTAATGTAATATGCGTGACAAAGATTCAATGATCTATAAAATGAAGCGAAAATCACAAAGGGGGAGATATTATCGGAAGAAACTAAAAATAGAAAAATGAAAAATGGAATAGATTTCCATTCACTACTTCGTTGTTCGTTATGTTTGAGCTCTAATGTCTTTTCGCACTTGAGTCCTGTCCAATTGTCACAATAATTTCTTCAATGAGCCGAATGAAAACATGCATTGGATTCGAAATTTAAATAAACATATGTAAATGTTTAAATTTTTAATGAAAGATTCCACACTCCTGGTTATCATTATGACATTGACTAACGAATTTCACATTTAATGTCAATTAAAAAATTATTTAACCTAAATACTTTATTCTCATTCCGTTAAAATAAATTAAAAAATTAAAAGCGGACACTCTTGCCCTTTTTAACACAACTAAAGTCAAAACTTAAAGTTTATAGATCGCATTATTAGAACAGAGAAAAATAGTACTTTCAATTTTGTCTTTGATTTTATTTTTAAGGTCTTTAAAAATAATTTTTCCCGCGATGAATACCACTTCACCCAAATCATCGCTAGCCAAATTGGGTATACACACCACCAAGCATAAATCACTAAAAGTGATGGTATTGGGGCAGAGCGGTGTTGGAAAATCTGGTAAGTTCAAAAAACAGTTAATCTACTATGCTCTATGTGCGTAAACCTCAACCTACCTAATCTCAATTTCTAAACTTATACACTTTCAAGGCAKCTCTCACTTATTTCTATATGCATATATTTTTTTTAACTACCTACAGCCATGGTTGTAAGATTCATTACTAGACGATTCATTGGTGAATATGATCCAAATCTCGAAAAGGTCTACACCCATAACACCACATTTGACAACGAGCTCATACAGTTTGATATACTGGACGCAGCTGGACAACCCAATGTGAGCATACCTGAAACTTATGTTCGCATTATCTTCTATTTAAACTAGCTACCTTTAGAAAGAAGATTGCGTCAGTTTGGACACAAATATACGTTGGGCGGACGCCTTCATACTAATGTACTCGGTGACCGATAAATGTAGTTTTGATGAATGTAATCGACTGAAATTCTTAATCAACTATAATAAAAGGAGACGTAAACTTGGATCAAATAGTAAGGTGCGTAAAAAGATCGAAAGATGAATGAATGAGTTTTGAAGTATGGCTGCTGAGGCTCTAACACTACAACGAAAGATTGACTAAAGTTTCATGGTTGCACCATAATGAATTCTGCTTTTTTTTACAAAGAAAGCGAATGAGTATGAGTACCAGCGCCAATATTGGTTTTTTTTTTTATAGAGAACTCTTGAACCTTTAAATTATTATTGCTCACATTGTGAATTTATTGGTTCTCATAACACATTTCCACGACCACACAGGACTCGCTCTCGGATGTGCCAGTAATATTGGTGGGTAACAAAACGGATCAAACTGGCGATCGTATGGTGAGCATTGAGGAGGGCCAACGACGTTTTCGTGATCTAACATGTGTCTGCTTCCATGAGATCTCTGTACGCGAGAGTGTTGATCAAGTGCGTTGTATATTTATAAAATTTCGCATTCAAATATTTATTATGTATAAATCCAACAGGTTCAGGCAGTGTTTCGTGATGTATTTCGCTTTTGGCGTGTCTTTAGCAAGTTTCCCAAACTGAAACGTTCCACCAGCGATGTACAAAATGCTTCCGACTCAGCGTTGAGCCCCGATTCGGGTTGCTCCTTCTAYGATCCGTCATCTTATAACAGTGAAACACGTAGATCCTTTTTCATAAATGGTAGGGCTACTATTCAAATATATATACATCTTAATAATAAACATATCGTWAAAGCCAACACCTGCCTGGAGGAGACCGACCACACAGAATCCACCGATGAGCTCGGTTCCGGTAGCCTATGCAGCTCTCGTTGCGAAATAGATACACCATTCCGCAGTAGAGCTTCCACAGATGGTACTTTATTGTCGCGTCCACGCCGATGGCGTTATCCACCACCCGGTTGTCTAGCACACACCAATCGTGTCGAACGTCGCATGAGCATCTCAACGCGTGGCAGCAACGCCAGCTATTGACTACTAATGCATCACTGAGTGACGCTCGGTTGCAAAAGCAAGCGATTGTTGYTATAACAAGATTTTATTATTTACACTATTATAMGGCTTTGAAGGTTCAATATGCTAAATGGGGGCGCGTTGCACGCTTATTGATAGACTATTTGTTATAAAATGTAAATTATTTATTACGATTACATTAAGATATAACTACAAATGTAATGCTGATGTTTTATACATGTATTTTTCTATGTACTGATTGTATTTAGAGATAAGTATTTATTAAAGGTTTCATAGATGTATTGACCCTTATATTTACATATMCGTATGTATTTGCTTATAAGAATGAAGAATAAAACTTGAAAAGCACTTGTCTTGGCTTTCGAGTGTTTTCTGGCAGAGATCGTTTTGTTTTGATCGCATGTAAGAGAGATCGGCCCACGATTTGTAAGRAAAACGGAAAAAGACTTTGGAAAGGAAATCGCACAGTGAAATGAAAGATAGGTTGGATCCTGTATACCATGACCTTCCTCATACGGTGGTGACCGTCAAAAACTAGCTTAACGAGTTTCCAACCGARCGTTTCGGTTCTTCTTCTTCTGGCTCGAAAACCATGATTTCGTTTTATTGAAAAATCAAACGAAACAGAAAACACTTCTGACCCGCTTATTTACCGTGTTCACGAAACAAGGTCGATTGGTATACATTTAAGGCAAAGGAACCGTCGAAACACTAGTCTCAAGTATGTGACATTCACAAAGTGCGATGTAGCGGTTTTTTTTCAAAACGACTCTGCAAAACTAGACCGATCAAACGACGCCATATTTTTTCCGCTTTTTTTACATTTGAGCTTGAGAGCGGTGTACTAACGAAGTTTCGAGTCAGTGGCCTCAACTTTAAAAGCACTACGTCCAATTTATGGTGGTCTTAATCATCCTGTCAGATCAAAACTTAAGTGTATAAAGAAAAAATTTTAATCCACAGGCACAGGACAAAATGTTGCCGTGCCAGTGAGACAAAGAAATGCCTCGCCGCTAGCGCATCTTTCACACGTCGTTCTTAAGTGTTGGGCATCTCTGTGACGTCGTTGTGACGAAGTTTGTGAAAAGATCTTGATCTACATGATTACAAGATCAAATTGACGCAAGAAGAAGCGGCTTAACCACCAAAGTTCTCGTACTTTCGAGAACTGGGCTGAGCTACGACTTGAAAAAGATCAGCATTTCCATCGAAAAATCATCTTCAGCGGTGAATCTTATTTCTGGCTTCGTCAATAAGCAAATTATGCTTTATTGATCAAGCAGCAATTCACATGTACTTCATGAGCCACCATTGCATCCCAAAAAAATTACGGTTAGGTATGGTTTATGGGCCGGAGAGTCATTAAAACTTACTTCTTCCGTGATGATCAAGTCCGGCACGTTACTGTGAATTTGATTCACTACCGCTCAATGATAACCGAATATTTTTGGCCCGAATTGAATGATGCAAACGCCTGTTCCATCTTCCGTATCCTCAATATTTGAACGACTTGTKTTTGTTTTAAAATTTGAAAAAATCCCTCCCTTTGAAAAAAATAGAAATTTGAGTCAAATGAAGAGTTATCAATGAAGAAACAAGAAAAATGAATTGAATCAGTGCAGTTTATTGCTAACTGTGAGAAGCAGCTTTTTCTACAAGATATATTTTTATGCCTCAACCTTTGGCATAGTAATAAATAACTTAGAAATATATAAGAGGATTCGTTATAGCCACAGCGATCTCACTCAAGCTCTCAAGTCATTTAATATTCTTCATCGATTTTCAACAGATACTCCTCGGCACGCAGAGCCAACTCACGTATGTTGCGTAGACAACCGGCAGCAGCCAATTGTGTTTCTTTGTTTGTGGAACCAACACACTCCAGCAAGAATGGCACTACGCCGCTCTGGAAAATATACAAATTATGCCCTTAACTAGCTCAAAAATTACGAATAAGAACCCACCTGGTGCATAATGATACAGTTTTGTGGATCCATGGATAATTTTTCCAGCGCCATAGCTGTTGTACGATGTACGGCTGGGTCATTACTGGTCAGGTAGCTGACAATGGGCGTGACTGTGCGTAGACGACCCAACTCCTGTGTGTTATTACCAAATGTAGCACAACTAGCAATTGCGGCGGCCAGATTTTCACGCAACAAATCTTCGGTAGTGTTTACTGGAAAATGAAAAACATCATTTAGCTAATAAAATATATATTAAATTGAGAGACTAACCCAAATCGGCCAACTTATAGATCACTTTAAGATCGGACAAAATAGCTAGATTTGTAGTATCCTTTGCAATTGTTGCTATAGCAGCGCAGACAGCCGACAATACCTGCGAGTCGGTGGACTTGAGCAAATCCACAACCAATTCCATGGCACCCACCAAACTGCGCACCAACTCACCCGATTCGCGTGCATTGCGCACACACGGACAGATGGCATAGGCGGCATAAGCTTGAACTTTGGGATCAGTGTTCTTCAGCAGTGACCAAATCAAACGCACCGCATCCAAATCCTCCAAAATCCGCATACTATCTATATCTTCGGCACACTCTTTTAATGCTTTGGCCAAGTTTACCAACAGCGGTGGATGTGATGAGTTCAACAATGCCACCAAGGCCGGCAAACCGCCGGCGCCACGCAAAACTTCGCGATTATTTTGAAAACGTACACATTCGGAAATGGCACCAACCACATTGGTAATCACATCATCGGAATCATCATTCAATAACGGTATGAGATGGTTAATCAGACGTAATGAGTCCAGTTTCTTGACATTCGCCTCGGACACGGCGCTCATCCAAATAGCACCGGCAGCACCGATCATCAGTTTCTTATTATCACGCACATTTTTATCCTTGATTATGGCGACCAAAGGCTCTAAGCCACCCGCAGATCGTACCAGATCACGTGTAGTCTGATCGAAAGCGCATTTGTATATGGCAGTACTACCTTCGGTCTTCAAATCCAAGCTATCGGAATGTAGATGGGTCACTATATCAGCGATCATGCCCTCGGTAGTAATGGCCAGTTGAAATTTGGGCTGCATTTTGTTAAAAATATGTGATTTAAGTAAATTTAAGGCTAAGACTCATTGACCTTATAAAATGTAAACAAAGCGGTCATTAACCTCCCAAAATGTAAAGAAAAGGGTCATTGACCTCATAAAATGCAAACAAAGTCATTYACCCCATAAAGTTTAAGCAAACGGACCAATAACCCCAAATTTAAACAAAGGTTGTGGACTTGTGGTAAACAAAGAGGTCATTGGCCTAGACAAAATGTAACCAAAGAGGTCATTGAATGTAATCAAAGGGTCAAKAACCCCAAATGTAAAGAAAGGTTGTGGACTTGGCTAAATGTAAACAAAGAAACCTTATTTSTCCATTGTTTAAACCCAAGTATTTTTGAATGCCCGAATTGAAATTACATACCTGCGATGCACATTCCTGTATGGTGCCCATTATAGGTATTACAACATCTGTGTGACAAGACTTGAGCAAACGCGCCATCAGTGGCACGATACCGCTCTTGCGCATCAATTCCTTATTATGGCGGGAGAGTGAAAGCGACCAGAGAGCACGAGCACCGGCACGTGCCATGTACAAGCACTCCAAATCAGATGAGTTAAGTTCCTCGAGCGGAGTTTGTAGTATTCTACCATACAAAATATTATTTTACTATTATAGAAAAAGCAACAAGTCTAACTCTATCACGTGCACAACGTACGTACCGCAAACTGACATCGAGCATATCCACCAACATCGGTATGCCACCACATGTGCGCACATATTTTCGAGCTAAGCGCACTTTACACACATTAGCCAGCGTTTCACCAGCCATGGTCTTAAGTTCCTTCGAAAGCGAGTTCAATATATCCACTATTAAGKKTATGCCACCCAAATCGACGATCGTCTTTCGTATATCAATGTTCAGTGAGATCTCAGAGAGCACATACAGTGAACCCAAACGACAATTGGTATCATTGCATTCGAGTATATTGACCAACACTTCCAAACCACCGATATCCTGTACGGCCATTTGATTGATTTGTGTGCGCAAATCGTAGTCACGCAGGCAGCAAAGCGACACAATGGTCGCCGTTTGATTGCCCGCTTTAATATATTTTATCAACTTCTGTATATTATAATATTCGGCGGGTATTTCAACAGTGCGTGCAATGTCTTTCCATCTTTCCTCCTCCTCGGTGGACGATTCTACTTCAGTAGAATCGGAATCTTCCGTTACAATAGTTTTCTTGCTGCTAAAAAACCGTTCGGGACAACTGCCGCATGTCTCATATACACGACGGCGTGATTCTTTTCTCTTTTTTACGTCTTCTTCTTGTTGCTTTTGTTTCTCTGCGCGCTCTTGATCGGTGAGAGGCTTTTGTTTTAATACTCCATCGATTTTACTTTGATTTACCACATTTATAATGGGATGAGAATCTTGAAGAGATTGTACATTGATAAGTTCTTCTTCTTCTTCCAAGGTAGTCATAGTTCCAAAGGAGAGTTAAGAATTGCTGAAGCTCTGAGGATTCTGAAGAATATCAATTATTATTTTTTAATATTTTTTTCAGCTTCGATGAAATTGTCAACGTCAATATAATTTTTACTCTCGTATAGGTTGTTGTTTACTTGAGTTCGATTGCAGTCAAGTGTAGTTGTCGTAGAAACAAAGGTTTGGGAAGTACTGCCAGACAGTTTGAGCATCTCACTTCAATTAGTTGTATTCAAAAGCGTGAGAAAAGTGTGCAAACTGGGTTCCCTATTATCGAAATGTATGTATAAATATTGATTTTTAATATTGCTGAACCAGGACGCCACAGCCACCTACGTGCGACTTTTGATGTGGAGAGGTCAGCCATCCCTTTTTTTGGTTTCCGAGGCAGGAATTTTTCAAAGATACTCCCAGTATGAACTGACAGCATGCACCACACAATGTACACTCGACACTATTATCTAACTATGGTGGACTTGTAAAACAGTATATAGGCAATTGAGGAATCCAGTATTCTCTCGACGAATAAATACAAAACTCTATATATCACTCACTATTCCCGTCGTTGCTATATGGTGCAGAGGTGTGGACAATGACATCATCTGATGAGTCGACGTTACGAGTTTTTGAGAGAAAGGTTCTGCGGAAGATTTATGGTCCTTTACGCGTTGGCCACGGCAAATATCGCATTCGATAGAACSATGAGCTGTATGATATATACGATRACATTGATTGATGACGTCACTCAATTTCAAGCAGGTTCGAATAATAAGTAAAGCCCCAACTATAGTCTATAAAATAACACACTTGCATAGTATATATTTGGCTTGGCAAAAAGCGGTCACGCATCGTTGATACAGTCATGGGTTTTAGTCACTTGTCACAACAGCAACACCATTTCGTCATTTCGTATTCTGGGTCAAAGGTTGACAAGGTGTAATTGGAATTTGAATGCGCAACAGTAAATGGCGAATGAAAATGAAAGTAAGGCAATCCATCCRCCAGCATGTATACAAACTTTAGTTCAGTTTTTTCAAGTGTGTACGGCAAATCGTAAAAAATGGGTAAGCGGGTTTTTGGATCCTTTCTAATGACTTTCATACTTATACAGTGCTGTAGTGGCAATAGCGACGGTATCAGGTAAATATTTTAAAGTTGAAAGTTAAATACTATGCGCTTACTTGATATACACGACAGCATCATAGAAACTGAGATCGAAGATGTTCCACACCAAGCCTTGCATCATCTACTTACCGCACTCTTGGCAGCCGCTCGTATTGAACGCTGTTTCGTTATTATTACCGATAGCAATTATTACCAGCTCTACAGCGGCCAGTTCTTTCGCAGCCAGCGCTGACAAAGCGCCTACTACTTTCTTAATGTTCCGCCAACGGAAGACTTGTTGGCGCCCAATTATCAAATGGTGCGGGTCTTAAAGCAWATACGCAAACAAAATTGTGAATTCATGCTCGTAACGCTCTTGAACGGGCTGCAAGTGCAGCGTTTCTTACGTTTTGTTGAGAAGAATCGTTTGCTAAACTTACAACAACGTTTTGTGTTGCTCGAGGATTCGCGTCTCATGGTGGCCGAGATGTGGTACATATGGAGTAATATGATATCCACTGTATTCGTGAAACCACTCGACAACCAAAGGTATGAATTATAACAACAACTGTTATTATTAAACGGTCCAACTTTACAAAATTTTATGAAATACTAGGTATCTCTTAAACACGATTGCATACCCTGAAATATTGAATGGTGTGGTGGTCACGAAACGCCTAATGTTTTGGGAGAAAGGGAAGCATATCAAAATTAACCAATTGTTTCACGATAGAACATCGAATATGAAAGGTTTGTGATTGTCGAATATGTCTAATTAAAAACGAAGTTTCATGCRTATATAAGATCTGGATATATAGGAATATACTGCTTTCAGGCTTTGCCATGCCAATCGTTGTCTTCGAACATGTGCCCATGGTCAGACGTCACACAGATAACGCCACTTTGGTTGGGCTTGAGGTGGAAATACTGAAATCACTTGGTGTCAAACTGAACTTTAAACCCGATTTCTATGAGACCAACGATGCTGCCTACGAGCATTGGGGCAAAGAGTTGCCGAATGGCAGTTATTCCGGCGTACTTGGTGATATGGTATGTCACAACGACTATAAAGTAAGCTAAACCACGGATATGGTCGGCTAAGCTTATTTCTGAATGAACAGATTCCTTCCTAATTTTTGTTTCCTCAATCTGTTCATAAATAAGTTATATACCAAAAGGGATTTCCTTTCAGACAGTTTAATCTTGGTAGTCTTTATTTCATACAGATATTGCCTCTTCATTCCAGGCAAATCGTAATGCGCGCATCGCCATCGGCAATCTGCATATGTTTAAAGTTTATGCCTCTGTTATGGATTTCTCTTGGCCACATACTTTCGAGTGTCTGACATTCTTAACACCGGAGTCTTCACAGGATGACAGCTGGCGCACACTTATACAGCCTTTCAGGTGATAATAATAGYATACTCGCATAGAATTGACTTCTCAATCTTTACCAAAACTTACTATCCGCGTTAGTGGCAGCATGTGGGCCGGCGTTTTATTCTCACTCTTCATTGTGGGTACAGTGTTCTATGTGATCTCTTGTCTGCATGCCATACTATTGCATCGACGATCGTGCCGCACGCCACGCATATTGAATTGGTCGGAATGGCGCAGTAAAGGACTCTTACATCCGTCGCGCAGTATTGATACGAAACTTTTCCGTGATGTGCAATTCCGTCGTTATCTGGGACAACTAAAATCATTGCCCTTGAAAAATACCGACCTTTTTGATGATTATTCAAATTGTTTGCTCTTCACCTATAGCATGTTGATGTATGTTTCGTTGCCACGCCTGCCGCGCACATGGAGTTTACGGGTGCTCACCGGCTGGTATTGGCTCTATTGCATTCTGCTTACGGTCATTTACAGAGCGAGCTTAACAGCAATACTTGCGAATCCCGAAGAACGGTAATATTGCTTTTAAATATATTTGTATTTATTTACCTTCCTTTTTGGTTTTAGAATTACTATTGATACGTTGGAAGAACTGTCTGCGAGTTATGTGACCAGCACTGCTTGGGTGCATGAGAATAAACAATTTTTTGTCGAGGCATTCGATGAGACCGCGCAGGAGATCGGACGTAAAATGGAGATAGTAGACAACATCGACAGTGTGGTGAGTTACTTCACTCGTTATCGTTCGTTCCAAACAGTTATTATGTTGTTTTTACCTTTCCGTATAACTTTTAGACCGAACGTATTGCCAAAGGTGAATATGCCTATTTCGATAACGAATATTTCCTACGTTACTTACGTATGAAAGGCGCTCAACGTCGCGAGGAGCAACAATTCACCGAAGTAGTGTTGCACATAATGCGACAGTGTGTCATACAAATGCCTGTGGTTTTGGGGCTGGAAAAAAATTCACCACTACAACCTAACGTTAATAAATATTTGAGGCGTCTAAGTGAGGGGGGTAAGTTTCCTTAACAGGTAGAAAAAAGATTTACATGGCTGGCAAAATTTTGTCTACCTGTATCCTTCGCGCGGGTTTCGTCTGGGCGATGGGTGTCGCTGCTTACAATGCCGTGATCTCARGCTGATTCCTCTCAGAGTCATTACATTATAGGCAGGTGGATCCTAGGGAAGGATGATGTATTTTCCTAATCATCCTCTTATGTTGCACCGCATCTTCAGAAGTGAGTAAATGGGTGATACAACGGTCATTGCTAATTAGGTACCTGGCGGTAGGTATAAAGGTTGAGACACCCTAATCGAAAATTCAAAATGGAGGRCACCAAAGAAACGAAGCGGACTGGAATATCAGCCCAAACGTCTATGGAAGACGAGGCTGCTAACACCTTTACTGCAACGGGAACTGTTTGGCTGTTCACAGTCCATGAAGACTCGGACCAGGAAAGCGCTGTAAGCATAAATGCAGGAAGGAAAGAAGAACTTTTTCGCTTTAAGTGTAAGGGTTCCAACACTAGCAACTGGAGAGGGCCACGAAAGAACCCAAGCAAGAACGAAGGTTTGAAGGAAAAAGCGAGATRCAAGACGGCGGTCAGATATGCAACCGTCTCGAAGACAAGTCCAGCCTGAAGGAGGAAGAGATAAAACGGCTGGCTTGGGCTAGAGAGAAGGTGAAGAACGAGACAAGTCGAGTTCTATTTCTAAACACCTAGAATTCTTAAAAGTATAGTTATATATTTGATATACCTAGATCAATTTTCAATATTAGGGATATAAATATAAAATACAGAGTTTACTAAAATATACAGACTACAACTGAGCGTGGTTTTTTCGAATCATATTAATTACGATAACATAAAAAATATATAACAATTTTCTCTACCTCTCTCTTTTTTCTTGTCTCTCTCTTTCTCGATTCGATATCCCCCCTTCTTCTACCTCAACCACATTCACATTATAGGTCTCATCACTAAATGGCTCAAAGATTCCATTGCCGAGCTGCCCGCCGAGGAGCGTACGCCACAAGAGGCTGTAATGGACTTACCAAAGATATGGAGCTCCTTTGTAGCGCTTGGCATTGGTTATTTATTGGGACTCTTTGCGATAGCCGGTGAATGGCTGCACTACGAATATGTGGTGCGAAAACATCCACTCTACGATGTATACAATAAAAATTTGTATTACAATTTTAAGCGTAAATTTTCGAGTTACTAATTTGTGTAAGAATACATCTCAAACAGAGTTGCAGATAATGCATTAAAAATTATTAAATCCACTACAAACTTGGCACAAAATAAATTTTTTTTTTTGAAATTCCGAAATCGTTAATTAAAAAAAATTTGAAATTTCTAAACCCAAATAGCGGTTTGAAAGTTGTAAAATTTTTTTTTAATGTTGTTGTTGTTATTKTAGCGGCAGAAAATATTCCTGGATTAATTTTGTGGAATGGTGCCCTTGCAGTTCCTGGACGAGTAATA